CAGGGACCTCTTGTCCCAGGCCGGGAGGAAGATTTATCATCCCCACCCTGAACTGGTGGCACTCTGGGCCTGGCCCATGAAAGGCTGAATCTGGATGCAGTCGGACTGCCCCCAAGAGTGATCGACACTATTCAGTGTGCGAGGGCCTCTTCCACCCGCTCGCTATACAGCGGTAAATGGCGGGTATTTGAGAAGTGGTGCGAGGAGAGGCAGATTGTCTCCTTTCAATGCTCAGTGAGGGATATCCTCTGTTTTCTTCAGGAGGTGCTGGACAGAGGGAAAGCCTTTTCCACAATTAAGGTTTACTTGGCGGCTATCTCAGCGTGCCATTTGGGCTTGGGTGATAAAACACCGGGCCAACACCCGTTGGTGGGCAGCTTTATTAGGGGGGTGCGCCGCAAACGCCCTGTTTCTAGGCCCCTGGTGCAGTTATGAGATTTGTCAGTGGTGTTAAATGCCCTTTCTCGACATCCATTTGAACCTTTGGAAGGTGTGGGATTGAAGTTCCTCTCACTCAAAACTGCGGTGCTCTTAGCTTTGACTAAAGCAAAGCGAGTGAGTGATCTACAGGCACTGTCGACATGCTCAGCCTGTATGCAGTTTGACCCAGGGGGATCTAAGGTGTGTTTAAGGCCTAACCCGGCGTACAGATGCCCCATGGTGGTACTGGGGGCTTTTCACCCTCCCCCGTTTGAGACAGCGGAGGATCACAGACTGAATACTTTATGCCCGGTGTGGGCATTACGTCTGTATGTGGATAGGACAGCAGGGTTCCGGAGGAGTGACCAGCTGTTTGTGTCCTGGGCTACGCCCCACAAGGGGAAACCACTGTCCCGCCAGAGCTTATCCCACTGGATTGTGGAGGCCATAGAGCTGGCTTACAGATGCAGGGGCCTGCAGCCTCCTGCAGGGTTAAAAGCTCACTCCACCAGAGGCATGTGCTGCGGCAAGTTGGGCCACACCACACACATTTGTGAGATTTTAGAGGCTGGACATTTCTGACACGTCCCTAGCCCATGCGGTCCTGGGGACAGGGGCTTCGGATGCCGTTTAATACGTCAGACTGGGTCGTGGAGCCGGATGGCTTCGGGAGAACATGCAATCCGTGAGTGGGCCATATCTCCCATAGTGAAACACCGAACGAAGTCAGAAAAAGAACTTAACGATTAAAGATTACTTAACGTAATCCCTGGTTCTTTGATAACAGAGTGAGGTGTTTCACCAACATTTCCCTCCTTGCATCGCTAGAGGAAGAAACTGGTATAGAATGACCTGGTCGGGGGGGGGGGGGAGAGGTCGACTGTGATATATAGAGAGGGCGGGACCTCCCACGAGTCGACCTGTCTGTCAAGACAGACGTTGTGTCAATGGAGCTTCCGTAATGGTCACGCCGAGAGCGAATCCCATAGTGAAACACCTCACTCTGTTATCACAGATCCAGGGATTACGTTAAGTAACCCAACGTTAGATGGGGAGTTAAAAGGAAGCACTACTATAGAGCACTTTAAAAAGAAGTACAGACACAGAATGTTTAGGAGATATGCAGACGAAGAGGGGTTTTGCTGATGGGTTTGTTTACTTAGCTCTGGGGGCTAATTGGGATGTAAATGAAGTTGAGATGGGGTTTGTTAGTTCATAAGTCATTATTAAGAATGGCTTTTGGTTTGCCATCATCAAGCTTAAAAGAACAGAACAGTACTAATGACTTTTTTTTTTTTTTTTTAAAGATAATTAGATAATGCTGATGTTTGACTGAAGACTATCTTACATCATTGTGTTCTGTTTTAATAACATTGTTTTGTATTAACAGTGGCAGTGTTTTTCTTTTTAGTATAAGGGGGTATGGTCACACATTAGTTAAATTAACACTGGTGAGTTCAGCCATGTTGAACTTTGACCCTTGAAGTCGCAGCCTCAACTAATCGCAGAGTATGTGTACAGGAGACATTGATTGTTGCCGTGTTTAACCAGCTGATATTATGTGACACTGGCCATTAAAATACAAACTGCCCCACATGACAGATGCTGCCTGGCTGGTAGTGAGTCGGTAGACATGTATGGAACATAAGAAAATGGAAACATCACATTTGGCAATATTCATTAGCTAACCCTAACCTCTGCCCATTGGTCAGACAGCTCATTGGTCCGACATCCCATTGTTCTGACCATATTAAACCCATTGTTCCGAAGTCCCGTTGTTCCGAAATCATCATGATGCCCTGTGGTTAAGGTCTGGTTAGGTTTAGGCACAAAAACCACTTGGTTAGGGTTAGGAAAAGATCATGGTGTGGGTTAAAATGAAAAAAAAAGTGGCAAACATATAAGCTGTGAGCCTGCTTCGCCTCAAGCCTTTCCAACTGACCCAGAGCTGGTCGCGGTGCACCATCAAGGCAGAAATACGCCCGCCGGGAGCCATTCAGCACCGCGGAGAGCTCCCCACACAACCCGGACCCCAGAGTTAATAACAGGAGGATATGGTGTTTCATTCTCTCCTCTCTATGACACTTGTATCTCGACCAGTAGCCTACTTTTGTTGCGTTGCTGATCCTCTGTGGTACACAAATACAGTATAGCCTAGTATACTCACATATCAGAACAACGGGACGTCGGACTAATGAGAGGTTGGAACAATGAGAGGTCGGAACAATGCTATGGCACCAACATTAGCTAGCAAGCTAGCTTTCTTTGTGTGCACACTGATCATGAAAAGCGCCTCAGCAGTTGTTAGTCACTCACCTGCATTCTCTGTCATGTGTGATCGTGCCCTAATGTGGTTGAAAATGTTTGGAAACCATTTATGCACATATGTCTCTCTTTCTAAAAAGCCATTAAGTCAGCAGTTATTAAAGCAGCTGTGCGGAACTTTTTACCATTTATAAAACTGTCTCTAGTTTGTATCACCCCCTCTTGAAGATCCGCATATTTATTTGAACCCAACAGCGACAAAAAAGCCTTTCTCTATATGGCTATTTAGCGTAGCCTCGTGCGGGTCGGAAGGACAGCGGAAGTCAGCAAACCAGAGTACGGCACCCGAGGCGGAAGTGATTCTGCTCGCCCGCAGCGGCCCGCAGCCATTAAACCACAGAAGGAGAAGGAGCCATGTTTACAGAGAGTGTAAGTAAGTAAGCGGTATGCAACAGGCATTGCTGAACACATAACAGTTTTACCAGAGATGTATCTATAAGGACTTGGTTATACTTTTGAAGTCATGGCGGATAACGAAGGAGCACCATCTAAAAGAAAAAGAACAGAAGAAGGCTAAACGGGACAGTGATAGGGCTCGTGTAAACCTCGGTCGGGCATTCACCAAGTGGAGAAAGCTGAGAGAATTGAAAGGTTTTAAAACTGATCCAGAGTTGGCCCTTTTCCTAATCAACAGGTATGTAATTTTTGTTTTTATTTAGAGAATATAACGCAACTTGTTAGACGTTTTTTCACTTCAATATATGATGACATGGAAGTTAGAAGCAAGCTAAATGTAACGTTAGCTGATGTGAACCGCTTTTGTCTAGTAACGTTACAACAAACGCCACAAAATTCTGTGACTGTGAGCATGAACACAAATATACAGCAGGCAGTTGTCCTTAGTTTATAAGAAATTCAGAGCTACACCAGAACATTTATGAACAGGTCTTACTTCACTACTAACTTGTGTAACGTTAGCATGTTAGCATGTTTCCACTAATTACTCGGACTGACCTAACGTTAGTAGTGTTAGCTTTGCAAGCGAAGGCTGCAGGTAACAGCTTTGCTGTGTTAGAATTAGATCAGAACAGAAACACGACAGCAGAATTTACTGAATCATTTTGCTGTTTCCACTAATTACTTGGACTGACCTGACATTAGTTAATCCTCTCGCTCTCCAAAACAAATGCATGCGGTAATTGCCAGTTGCAGTCGAGATTTTACGACGGCTACAGTCGGAATTTTACGACACCAGGCTGTGGGTGTCGTACCGCTTCGACCAAAGGGGCGATATAATCAACGAAAATGGAAAGTTCCGCACAGCTGCTTTGATATAAGTCATAAATAAAGGGTCTTCATTTTCTCATTTTCTAATAAGCCATCAACAAAAGTCAGTCAACTCCAATTTTAAATATATTTATATATTTATAAATGAAATTTGGTCCAGATTTCATGCAGCCGTTTTTGTGTAACTGCTTTTGTAGTCACCTTCAGAGCTGAGTGAAGCATAGACTAGAGAAGGATATATTTGATCATTTATACAATGTAACCTTTAAAATGTTAACTTCTGCATGACAATAGGCCTGTAAATGTTGTCTTGATTTGAGCAGGTTACTTTTGGAAGAGTGGTCGTGGAACTTTATTTGTACAGAGCATCTTCCATGAAGAACACAGTACAGCGTTGCGCATGGTCAGTAAGTCAGCAGCAGTGCAGGCTCACTTGGTTTTGTAACTCACTTCCACTCCTTTGAGTAATACAAGAGTTCTTGAACGGGAAGTGGGTACCATACTGTTTCCTGTACTGTGAAAACAGAGGCTTAAAAAATTGAGATCAAATGGTAAAACAAGGCAGTGTTGATCAAATATAAACCAAGATTCTATAACTGCATTGCATTGCCAATTTCTCACCTAAAATGTTTTCAGAAACATGTTTTACTGTACTATTTAACTGTAATACGAGATTGTTTGTTACAAGCCAGCCATATAGTTTTTGGACGAGCCAACACTCATTGTTTTGTCATTGTTGCTGGTCTGTTGAAGCACAGTGCACAAAAGCAAATACCACAGTCCTGTTGTCTGTTTTCTCTGGTTGTGTAGCACCAATTTAAAACCATTTGCATCTTTCTTCTGCATAGCGTAGTTTCATGAAAAGACCATCTTTCCAGCAGTGACATAAGTCACTGTCAATTAACCTCTGTGTAAGAAGCCCTTTTACACCTTTATCTGTGTGTCCTGGCCACTATTTGAACAGCAGTTTTGGTCTAATTCTCCAAGGAATAGCAGTGCATTAAGTGCTTTGTTTTCTTTTCCCACAGATTCCGGTGATGACAGGTGCCTTCATGGACTCGTCTCTCAACGATGACTACAGCACAGATCACTCTCTGTTCAACTCGTCCGCCAGCGTCCACGCTGCCTCCATGGTAGCTCACAGTCAGCCTGAGGAGTCCCAGTCCATGTCCGGGGACGCCATTTGGCTCTGGATTGCCATCACCGCCACCATTGGGAACATTGTAGTTGTGGGTGTCGTGTATGCATTCACATTCTGAGAGTAACTATCTGAGCCAGGATGTTTGAGAGAACACCAGATATAGTTTATAACTAGCTATGAACAGTGGTGGGCTGCACTTTCTGTCGAGTGGACTGACTCATGACTCATCAGATGGAATTTCATTTAGTCACTAAAGGATATATCAGCAAAATTACCCAGCAGTCATCAGCTGCAAAGCACCAGAGTCATAATGAACTTCTGCCAGTAAAGTCATTGTGAGGGTAAAGCCCTGTGAGGCAAATTGTGATTTGTGATATTGGACTTTATAAATAAAATTGAATTGAACTGAAGTGTGGAAGAGTGGGAATAGTGGTAATAGCGGACATAATATACAAATGTCTTCTTTCTTCAATGTGTTTTGTGCTTCAAAGTATTTTTTTTCTTTAATGTCATATGTATATTTGCTTACAGTATATTGTTCTTTGCAGGTACAGGGTATATGGAGAAATGTCATACTGCATGACACTTGAGGGTAGAGTTTGTGTTTGTGTGGGTGCTGGCTGTGTAACACTTCGGCACATTGCCTAGCACAAGACTCTATCAAAGATATGTTGTGAAAATTTTCTGTTCAGTTATTTCATTAGAAAAACCTTTTTTTGTGAAAGAACAGATTTGAACTTTTCATAGCCTTTATGTTGTGTTTTCACTGTTAACCCTGTCTGCAAGTACAGTTTCATACACAATACACTTGTATGAACCGTAAACAAAATTAGACAAACCATAGACTTTTAGAGGGTGAAACTGTCACAATCTTTTTTTTTATTTTAATGTGGCCAATCAGAGGCTTACAGTACTCTGAAAGCCATGCCCCCTGGGGGAGGGGAAACATATGCAGCCGAGAGCAGGGCACTATTTCTGATTATTTGGTACTTTAACTTTGCAGAGCTGGCAGTGAAAGCAAACAATGTACAGGCACTACTAAATTCTCTATTTAATTCCAAGACTTTTACTTTTTTGGATTTGGCACCCAAAGCTAACCAGCTAGGGAGACTCCAGACTAGTAAAAAGGTGCTAGGCAGTAGGCCTAGATGTATTATGCACATTTTAGTTGTTAAAAATATTAAATAATATTTTTATTCAGCATAAAGGCTTCACATTTTTCTTTACATTAGCCACAAGGAACCACTGGAGAGGAGCTGAAGAGGCACATGAGGCTGCGGAGCCTACAGGTTGCCTACCCCGTGGTTTAAGCTAATGAAGATCAAAACCAGGCCTTGCAAAGCTTGGTTAGCTTCAACTTCTAAAGTTTGTATGGCCGAATTAGCAAAATGTTTGCTGCCCACAATATACTGTTGGGATTCACGGGACCATAGATGATTTATCATTTGGTGAAATCACTGATTTCAAGGCTTTTTCCTCTGCATGCTCTTTGTCTTCAAACAAAGAGAGCTAAGTGGCACCCATCTCCACAGGAGGTCTCACCTCACACCTCAGTGAGACTCAAGTCCCATGTTACAGCCTCCATGCAAACACAGAAATCATGGCTCCATAGCAGCGGGAGGCTGCAACATATAAAAGAGGATGCCACACCAAAAGTAACAGTTTACCCACAAGCTTTATTTTTGTAACCCAAAATATTAACCAAAACACAAACAACTAAAGGAGAAACAAAAGGGACTGGAGACCCCGGCCAAAAAGAACAAAAGGAGGGAAGACACTGAGCCAACCACACAGTGGGCCGTCGCTCCCAGCGTCTCCCCCTAAACTACCTGAAAAGGAACTAAACCTAGAATAAACAAAAAGACGAATAAAGTAACTACCGGTAATCTCCAGCCCAAACTAAAACAACAAACTAACACAACAAAACCCCAGCTCCTAAATGGGCATGGGGGAAAAACCTGCTTGGGGAAAGAGAACAAAGGAGGAAAAGGGGGGAAAAACTCCTCACCACCTGTGCTGGTGTCTGTGCCGTGTGCAGAGCCCTGTCTCTACTCTCCCTGTCCCTCTTATCCCCTCCTCCTCTCTCTACCTGAGTGCCGATTGCACTCAGGTGCGCAGCAGGCAGAGGGAGGAGGGAGACAAGCCTGACAGGAGAGAGAGACAGCACAGGCTGCTGCACGTAACATCCCAAAACTTGATTGGGCAAGACCTTTTAGAGTGACATGTGACTCTGTGATGTCACAGGCATCGGTACAAGGTCTGCTCCCTCCAAGCTTTCTTTCTTTTCTTGCTCCAGCTGTTGTACAGCTAACAACTCTCTCTGGTTGGGCCTGGAACAGTCCAGAGGCCTAGACCCTGGCTCCATAGCCCAAACCACTAAAGGGAGGGCAACCGATCACAGACTCTGTTGCAAACACAAGGTTTGCAACCAGCTTTCCAGCAACAAGGAACTAAGTGAGTTAGCACCCAGCGTCTAACTCTGCAAGGACCCTGACCAGCTTCCTCTAAGTTTCACCTTTGGAACAAAGGACCCAACAAAGACTGCAGCTGAAACCACACCTTCCCAGCCTTCTTCTGCCGGCTAACAGCAGCACACCACCAAGTGACTCTTTCTTCCATCCATTCAAGGATCGGTAATCGGTAATAGCTTATCACAGCTTTACAGGCTAAGCAAGACTGTTTAACTTGTTGTATGTGATTTGATGCTGTTTACTGAGTTATTGTTGGGATAGATTGCAGTTAGGTCATTGATTAGTTGGCTTCGCCACAGCTAGGTGTTTAGTTTGCTAATACTATTCACAAACAGATTCTTGCATGAAAATAAACAATCTCTGCACTAATCCAGACCGTTTGCAACACATGTCACATTGACACAGACTCATTAACAAATAGGCTTTCAACAGAGCTACATCCAAACAGGCATTTCAAAGTTCCCGCTTCTTTTCCTTTGTCTTTGTCCTGACCACACGGTCAGACAAACACCTCCCCCGACTGGAAGCAGCCTTGATTCGGCCATTTTGGTAGTTCTGTTGTCAGCCATTTTGTTTTGTAGGCCAAACGGCTACTTGATCACCACACCCACCTTGTCTTTCTCTTTTCTCTCTCTCTCTCTCATTCACACACACACACACACACACACACACACACACACACACACACACACACACACACACACACACACACACACACACACACACATATACACGCCAAGCTTGTATATAGTTAGTTAGAATTTGTGTGTTTTGGTTTGCTTTGCTAATTTGTGAATAAATATAATTATTTGGAATCATACCTGCTGTCTGTTTATTGTTGCACAAGAGTGAATTAGTAGTCAACCTCTGCTGCGTCAAGAACGCCGAAATCCTTCAGGCGTTACTGTTAATTTTGGTTGTTGTCATTAATTTAATTATTAATCAAACTCCAAATTAATAGTTTAGCCTATTTTATGAGACTGATATCTTTAACTGGCTATCATTTTTCCCTTTACGGGAATGGTGCCCCATGAGGTGATTTAATGTTAATTAAGTCACATTATTTAACTTAATTATTAATAATAATTATTAATTATTTCTGATAGCCAATTTAACCCCAACATATTTGGTGCCTCCGTGTGAAGCCTAAGGTTTTGACCCCAACATATTTGGTGCCACCGTGTGAGGTAAATACTGTTGATTCCCAACATATTTGGTGCCACCGTGTGAGGTAAATATATGTTGATTCCAACATATTTGGTGCCACCGTGTGAGGTAAATATATGTTGATTCCCAACAATACTAAGTATCAGGATCCCACAGGTTTCCCATTCTCCCTGCTTATTCCTCATGTCTGTCCACTTTTGTCCTCTTAAAAGCTCAGTTTTACAGTCCGACAGCTTACAGAAACTTATATCTGGGTTCTTTACCCTGTTTGTAGATCATTCTACCACAAAGTAGCTTTTTATAGGTTGCAAACAACAGAAAAATCTGTTGTTTGCAAGGAGTTGTGACAAGGTGGGTCCTTTATTACATAGTAGGCTACAGAGTCAATCTAGAGCAATAAATTGAGTCATTATTTGTTTAAAGGTAGGGTCTGGAGGATTTTCCAGTTGCTGTTTGTAAACACACATTCAAATTTGGCCTCTCCTATCAGGCTCAACTGTCCGGATTGTACGGAGCCCGGAGGTACGGAAGGAGGCCTCACAGAAGAGGTTTAGGCAAGGCTCGCGCTGGTGCACGCTTGGACATGTTCGGACACACTCGGGCACGGCACCTGCGCTCTCTCATTGGCTGGGGAAATCTCCGCCCAGAAACGGTCCGAGCTCACAAAAACATCAAAATACAGTTGAAGGGCAGGAGCTCTGCAAACAGTCACCACCACACATGAGTAGAAGCCCATAGGTGATGATTAAGCAGGATTTCATTTGTGTATGTCTATATTTTGTTTTGTTTGAAAATCCTCCAGATCCTACCATTTAATAGTCTCAACAAAGACCACTTTTTTTGTGGTGACCTAAAATGAGCAGTGGTGAAATATACTACATTCTGTTGTGATCCATGACCAAATAGTTGATAAGCAGCTGGTGTTAGCTAGAGTAGCTACCTAGCGTAGCGTAGCGTAGCGTAGCTGGCATGGTAGCTAATTGAAAAGTTGTCTATATCTACATTAAACAGGCAACTGAGAAGTCAAGACTCATGTTATTTTTACAATAACAATCTAAAAGATATTTTGTGTTAGCCTGCTGTATCAGCCACTTGAATAAAGCATGAAGTAGTAACGCTAATGTCTGCAAAGCAATGGAAATCCCATGATTATGATACTATGAAGTGATTCGTGCTGAATTAAAAACTAAATGACAACTGGTTCAGGCAGTCTTTTGGTGAAATTAGTTTTTGACTGACAGAGGACTGTAAACCTCTGATTAGCCGAAACAAAAAAAAAAAAAAAAAGATTGACAATTACCACTCCCCTCTCAAAGTCTCCAGTCTGCAGAGACACCTCACTCAATGAGTGGCCAAAGACACTTCACAACTTAACTAACAGTACTCCTCAGCCATGTGTTTTCTTTCTGTAGTACAGTATAAACCAGTATTTATTGTATCATCTCCCCATGCTGACATTACCTTGTTATTTCAGTAAATTGAATGATATGGGGCCAATGTTGCTAGATTTTTTGCAACTCTGTGTGAATGTGAGGCTTCAATTTGCAATGTGCAAGCGGTGAGTTGCAACATGAGATCTTTGCCTGTGCTGCTAATTTGCTCAAATCAAACACTATATTTCAAAGCCCAAACATATCCTATTGTGTCCAAACTTTGATGCTAACATTGAATTTCTTTATTTGTTCAGACTGGTGGGTCATGACTTGTGTAATTGCTAGTCAGAACTGCGTTTGAGTATGAACATAACCATTACGACCTGCCTTTTCAATAATCTCTGTCCTTGCTCTGCCCACTGGTGGCAGCCAAATTGCTTTCTGAGCTGAATAAGCTGTAATGACCTTTGGGGTAAAAGTTGCCTGTTGCCATAGTGATGCATCTCCCTGTTCCCATCATCGTGCTCCCATGGCGACACACCTGCT